CTTACACCGGAGGCAGCCTCCAAGCTGAACGTTGCAGTCATAAAGAGTTACCCCTGTCCGCTAATGCCTGGTAGCGCTCTGGTCCCCAGTCCCCTATGAATCCATCACTGCCGCGTTCTGCTTCACCCCAGGTAAAAAATGAAAGTACAGTCAACAATTGGAGCGCTCTATTTTTAACATGAAAGTACTCAACTGTACCGCTAACAGTTTCACTCAAGGACCACAGGTGGTACCACAAGCATGAGGAACTTTTTCAGATGGTCTCTGTTTATAGTATAAAAATATTTCAACTTAAAACCTCAGGTTTATTATCAGAGAATTTGTTGCTGCTTCTTTATGTTGACATGTGTTCTGTGTGTTACCTTTTCTAGAAACTTAGCCCGAGCCTTGAGAACAGCACCATTCAGAAACAGAGGCAAGAACTCCAGCTTTTAATTGCAGAACTGAAAGATCGTGATAGGGAACTCAATGACATGGTTGCAGTGCATCAGAGACAGCTTCTAGCCTGGGAAGATGATCGGCAAAAAATACTGACTTTAGCAGAAAGATGCAACTTATTAAACAGTAAGTATCGTGTGTGTATAAAGAAGACGACCCTGGTCTCTTAAGTACGTTCAGGTGCTTAGATGCCTCAATAACAGTTTTGCATCGTTTAAGGAACTGTTTCCTACCCTTCAGCCTTAAATTTGGTTGTCTTTCCGAGACCAAAACTTCCACAATGGTACTAAAATGATCTGATCTGGAAGGGGGTATGATAATCAGACAGCTCTTTGTCGTTTGAATATGTAAGTTGCTTCTGTGGATTCCTTAAAAAAATATCTGATGAAATAAATGTGCGGGAGGAGAACAGTTTGCAAACATGCTGGTCTACTGCAGAGCCCTGTGCCCTGAGGTCCTGCTGCACAGCTCTGACATCATCTGCAAGCCACCCAGCTAATCGCCTGGCAGCTCTGAACAGTCTTGTTTGACAGCCATAGTACAGAGGTCACCACAGAGTTTGTATTTCATCCGACCTGGGTAGCTAGGGAATCCTGCTTCAGAGTATGCAATGCGAGCATCAATTTCTGAATCGCATGATTTTAAAACGCTGGATTGAATTATTTCTGAGTTTTAAAAAAATCGCATGACAGTATCTGAGCTCTTTTCTCACAGATACCTTGTCTCCTTTCTTTTCAGATGAGCTGAACAAGAGAAATGAAATTATAAAATCACTGACCAAAAGGTTAAAGTTCTTAGAATCTCAGCAGAATGACAGTAAGACAACATTTGAAAATACACAACAGAAGTTTAAAGAGCTGTCTCAAAAAGTAACAGATGCAACTATTCACTGTCAGGCGCTGGAGGTAGGAGTTGAGTAATGGTCAGATTTTGCAGTCCATGCATGTACAGACTGCCAGCAGCATTTGTGGGTTCCACTAGCGAATAAATGTTTCATATTAAGGCTCTTGAGTTGCATTTGTGTTTTAGTACAGTAATGTTAGATTAAGGTATAGCTCTGATTTGTTGGAAAAAAGAAAAAGGGCAAAAAAAGCTTTCCTAAGCTAGGATTTGGAGTTTGCTGTTGGCTTGCTTAGTTTTGGGGAACGCTGCTCAGAACCAGCTTGCCTCCAAAAAAGTCAGGCACTGGGATTGCAAAAGGCAGTATTGGCCCCTGGAACAGTACTGGTACTTGCTTGGGAAGTTCCAGAAAGTTTTATTTACGGCTTTAATTATTATGATGAACTGTGACATTCTGAAAACTGTTTAAGCATATGAAAATAATTGGCATTCAAGGGTTCTAGATTTTTTTAAAGTGATTTAGCAATGATGTGTTTATTGGGATAATGTTTTCCCCTGTATGCAATACAGTAAAGCAGTATTATGTGCTTTCATCTGTCTGATCGGCTTGACTTAAGACAGGCAGGATATTAAGATCCTTGATTGCAAGTAGGTTTGGTTGTAACGAATTGGGGGACGATTTTTACTCCAGTCCTCTTTTCTCCAGATCCTCACAGCTTGCTCAGAATCCCACAATGCCATTCATAATGTTTAAATAAAGTTGTGTACACATTTACTGGAAAAATAATAACTTTGAATCATTGAAGTAGTAGCTGACACTTATTTTTGTTCACTAGGAGAAAAATCAAAGTCTCCACTGCTCAGTTTTGGAACTGTCTGCTAAAACAGGCCAGCTGCAAGCAAGAGAACAGGAGCTTGTTACTATGCTTAAGCTGAAGGTAACATCTGTCATCTCATCAGGCGGTAAATGTGGTCAAACTGCAGTGCGGTTGTTGACTGTACCACAGTCACTTAGTCACCGTTGATCTCACTGCTGTTTAATTCTTAGGCTTGTTTGAGAAGGGAAAAGTGGTCAACAAACAATAAACTGGTTTATTTTCATAAACAAGCTTGTTTCCTGGCTTTGATTTTTGGGTTTTTTTCCTCAAGAGCTCAGAAGAAAATCTGTGAAGTAGCTATAACTACTGTAGTAAGAGGTACTGTTGTTTTGTCAAAATCCATACATGAAGATAAAACGATAATCAAGAATACATTCTATTTCATATTTCAGGACGAGGTTATACTTGAAACAACTGATCACATTACTGAGTTTACATCTAAATTCAAGAAGCTGGAAAGTGCATTGCGTGCAGCAAAGACGGAGGAATTCAGTCTCAACAAGGAAAAGCAAGACCTCAGACTGAGACTGAAAGAACTAATACTTGAAACAAATAAGCTGAAAGGTAAATGTTTATACTGGGCACCTAATTCAGTGCAGAGCAGCATGATTTCTTTTCATTCTGGGAAATACTACATTTTGTTTTAAAGATGACCTCTGTGAAAAGGTGAAGGAAAATAATAAGCAGCAGGAGGAAATCATTCACCTCAGACAAGAAAATGACTGCTTGAGGAATAAGCTCGCACTTATTGGTAAGTGTGGGCAGTTGGCTTTTAATGCCTTAGCTTTCAATGGCTCACAGACTTCTAGATGACAACAGCTCAGTAATATCTGTGAAGGAGGCAGCTGCTTATCTACCTTTCTTGGAGTTTAATAAAGGTGTATGCCTTTGTGTGTCATTCTTCTGTGACAGCGGTATCTAGGGCTTCTGCAGGAACAGTTTATAAAATCTTATAAAAGCACAAAGTTCACCAATATGATTACACATGGAGGAATGAATGGCTCAGAGGATTCTCTCTTTAAAATTTTTGAGACTTTCATGTCTCCTGTGGTATTAATACAGTAAATGGAGGTGCCATTCTCCCTTCTGACATGGGTTGCCTAGAAAATGGTGACCTACTGAAAAGAAGCCACATAGAAAACCTAAAGCTTAGGCCCTGTGAAATTACCAGCCCATTCACTCTCTCCAGTGTTTGTATGGAAGAAATATGTTTACAAATTCACTTTTTCTCTTGTTTAACCGATGGGTTTGATTTAGGCAGTTTAATATGCAGGACTTGGTGAACTGCGGCTTGCTATCTGTTGATAGCTTCACTTTGGTTTGGGGTAGAGGGAAGCTCTTCTGTATTGCAGTGGATAGGAAAAGCAGGCTGATTGTTGCTGCAGTGTTCTTACAGACAAGCAATATTACCTTGACAGATGAGGTGACCAACGATGTCCTCTGCTGTGAGGTGATTTACTTGCCTGTCACTTCTTGTCTGCCAATACCTTTGCCAAATGCTGATCCTATGTCTCATTATTTTAAAAACAATAGTAATGGGAAATATTTCCCAGCACTTCCCTGTACAAGGCATGAATTAGAATTTATTACTGAATTTCCTTTCCATGGAAGAATGTTGACATGAAAAAGTAAAATAAATCAGTCAATGAGGTAGAATATTGCTGTTAGTAAAATAAAGCTTGGTGCTGGTGAAAAGTCCGAGGAAAATACTTGATCTGTTTAGTTGTATGGGTTTTGCACTCTTGTTATTTGGCAGGTAAATAGATCCTGTTGATCTAAAGAAAATGCTTGTGTTTTGGTTAGGTACCTGTTTCTACTGCTACAGACATAGGTGTTAACAAATGTACCTGCTTTGTGTCTATTCACTTTAAGTAATTAAAAAATTGTATATGTTTTGAAACAGTTGAGAAAGCAAAGAGAAAGGATCAACTTCTTCAGTTTGCCAAGTCTAAACAAGCGCGGACTGACACAGAACTATCAAGCTTGCGACAGGTACAACCCTAATTGTTTTTCTACTCTGAGATTATGAAGAGACTTTTCAATAACATCAAATCTGCATGGAACACTGTAAAAACGTTAGATCTAGCTATTCCTAATTCAGAAAAAAACAAATCAAATTTGCTGTTTCTGCCTTGCTGGGAACTCTACAGAATGTTGATTTTTTTTTTTTTTTTTTTTTTTTTGTTAAAATTAAAAACCCATGGTACAAATCCTTGTATTTACCTGCACTTTTAGCCTTTTTTGTATAATTATATTTACTCAGTCCTACAATAAGTAAATGCCACCCTCATAGCAGTAAAGTGGGGGCACCCTGTTGAGATAACAGTTCGTCAGTACGTGTGTATAACCAGAGCGCGCTGGGCTCGAGAAGTCACGTGAAAGGCAGAGGGAGTGGGGCGTGCTGCCTCTCACGTGCCCAAGGTGAACTCGCACAGTGTAAAGGGGCATGGTGTACTGAAAGATCTGTTTTTCAAGAGAGACTTAAAAAACTGTTTTCACCTGCACTCATTTGAGGTTCTCAAGGCATATTCAATTTTTTTTTATTGCAAATAATTGACTGGTTTGTTATCTTCTACGTTAGTTTTACGAAAAAGCCCCTGCAGCGAAAGCCAAATACCATGATCGTCATTCCATGTCCTGTAATTCTGCATAACTTTGAACAACATAATAACAATGTATTAAATATCAAAGAACAATAATGATATTGTATTTATGGTTCAGTGTGGTTCCGTTTTAGAAGACCACTGCAGTCTTCTAGTAGAAATACTGTTTATTGCCACAAAACATTCTTTTCCTAAATGCGTGCTGAGATGTCCCCTTAGATTTGGAAGGCTTTGACTATAGTTTGACTACAGGTATTGGTTTATAAAAATGTTTTGAGGATATTTTTGGAAGACAAGCAATGTCTTAGTACCTGATGACAATGTTCCTGCACTCCAGATTTTCACTAATTTGCATTGCTATCTTTAAACAGATCTATGTAAAACAGCAGCGTGACTTGCAGTTTCTCCATGTCAGTTTGGAGAGCTCTCAGGAATTAAGGCAAAAGCACGAAAAGGCAGCACATGAAAAGAGGTAAAGTAATTTCTTTTTTCTACCCCCCCCCCCCAGGTAAAATGATTTCTTTTTTTCCCCCCCCCCCCCCCAGTAGTCTGCTCTCGGAGAGACACTTCACTGTTCAGCCACAACTGATATGCTAAAAGAGATGTGGGCTGTGTCAAGATGGCTTTGCTGGGCTCAGCCACAAACATCCAGTGAAGTTGTCAGATACTTTTTTAACTTGGTCAGGAGACACCATGAGTATCAGTCACAGAATAAAGCGCTGTACGCAGGCCAGACAGTTAATGATTTTTTTAAAAATTGAATAGTCTGGTGGTAGGGGTGTTAATCTGGCCTGCTACTACTTTTGTTTAAAAATGAAAGTTTATTTTGCTTTCAGATTAGGGAATTGGTGCACACCCTGGAGGTTCAGACAGAATCACCACACTATATAAAACATGAGGAAACTCTCAGACTAATTTTGGA